GCAGTGAAGATCTCCTTGCTTGGTCTTGAGAGCTGATAAGAGATGATACCGTCTGTCCTAACGGACAGCAATGCATCCTGAACCAAGAGAGCTTAAGAGCAGCTCAGGAACCTGGAATTTGCCTGTCTTCACAGGAAAAGGGTGCTGGCAGGTTTGGGTAGCTCTGCAGGAGAGAACAGGAGTCTGGATGTGAAGAGAGTGGGGAACTAGATGGTCAGCAGGAGCTGCTTTCCTTGCTGGGTTAGTCTGCCTCCCCGCGTGGTGCAGCAGTTGCCATAAGGCAATCTTAAGGAACCTGTGACTGGTGTGCGTGGCCTGTAGCTATAGGCAGCGGGCTTTTTGCGAGGCAGGGCTTTTTTATCTGGACCCTAAACAATAGGACTGTTACAGTGCAGGCAACAGAAAACAAGAAAGAAGGTAGTGTTTCTGAGCGTGTATTTCTCCCCAAATTCATGTTGGCATATCCCGGTGTGGTAGAGAAATAAGTGAAAAGTATCTAGGTAGGTAGTGATGGCTCTGCTGTCCTTGGATCCTGTTTGAATACACTCCGTCCCGGAGTTGTTTTGCATTTCACCAGGGAGTCTTTTGTCTAAAGGGCATCGCGGCTACAGCAAAGTGGAGCGTGTCCCTGCCACTGCTTTCTCCAGTGGATATCACATTTCATTACCCTGATGAGCCTGAGTGAATTCTCCCGGTTGTGTTAATTTGCCCACAAGCCAGCCTGTGTCACGTCCGCAAGAAGCTTGTGACATTTCCTAGCCTCCCCCATCCCTCCCGGTTTTGAAACCTAGAATAATAAATTGCAGCCTTGTCCAGTTTCTGCTGATTGCTTCTGAAAAGGCAGGGGAGGGCGGAAGGGAAAAGGGAGAGGGTCTGGGTGGGTGCCACTGCCTACCGGGAGCCGAGACAGTCCCTTCCTCTCTGCCCGCGATTGCGGCCAGCCCTGGCCAGGCGAGCGTGGATGGCGTTCCTCTCCGGGGCTGTGCGGCCCCGTGCCTGGGCCACCGTTGTGGTGGGGATCGGAGGGGCGCCTTCGCGTGCCTCTGGTCTCTGGGGTCCTGCTTGTCCGCGCAATAGCAAGTGGGTGGTGGCAAGGGGAGCGGCTGTTTCGGCGTCACCCGGCTGTGGGCTGGGGAGAAGGAGAGTGGCCTGCTGCATTTGATGCCTTTTCCAATGCTTTTTCCTGAAGCAGGGGTGGGTCCCTAGGGAGAGGTGCTGCAGGGGAAGCGTGGCCGTGTGGCATCGGACAACGAAGGCTTTAAAGCCAGGATCTGAACCTTCAGAGCGGCGTTTCAGAGCGCCTGGCAGGCAAGATATAGAGGAAGGATTTAAAAGCAGGCTTATGGGGGCAGGTGAGAGGTAAAGTATTTGTACTCAGTGGGTGGTGCTATCCCTTCCCCGCATCTGAAGCTTAGTCTGTGTTTCCGACTACATTAATGGTAGCGGAGAGTTGGGGCTGTTTTCCAAAATATTAGTATCCCTGTGTCAAGAGGTGTGCTGCTTCTGCGTGGATTGCAAACGATATTCTGGTATCAAGTTTTACTTCAAATAATGAAACTTCTGCTTTAACTAATGATGCCTTTAAGTGGTGATAATTTTGCTATTTTAGCCACCCTGAAGTTGAGCCATTGAAAAATCAGTGGTGCTTGTATCAGCTTAACTTTAGGGACAGATATTAATTTCTCGAGAAGTGAAGCGAGCTCTAACAGGACAGAGAAAATTAGCGACTGATTATTGGTGGTTTTAAGAGAGATGAAGGCAGGCTCTTTCAAAATGCTTCTCCTGTGATTATGTCCCTCATCAAACCATCCCAGGAAGGGAATTCAGTGCTCTGCAGGGCATCGTGCTCCCAGCTTGTAGTAAGGCCTTTTGGATAACCGTCGTTCTCCATCTTCGCTTTTTCAAGAGGTAAGGTTAATGCAGCTTGTCTAGTATAGTTTTGGTTTGTAAACAGCGTTTTGAATGCGTTGAGACGCTTTGTGCTGAACACACAGGAGCCTTGGTCGTGTGTGGACAAGAGTTACTTGCACATGGAGAACCTGCAACTAGTTGAGAAAGAATCTCAGGTTAAGCGTATGAAGGGGCTTTTGAGTGAATTTGGCTGCAGCACAAAGCTGCTCTGTGGAGAGCTCTTCGGCAGAGCAAAAGAGGCTCGGAGTAAGAATTGGTCGTGTGTTGTGTCAAAAATGAGGGCTTGGCGACCGAAGGTAAGTGGATCTCCCAGTAAATGGATCGCAAAGATCAGGAGGCAGAAACGGAGACAAAAGGAAACAATGGGTAAAAGCAAGCACTAATGAAACTTGAGTCTCTTGAGTACTTAAAACCTCCTGAAGAAGCTTCAGGACCTTCACTCAGCCCTAAGTGACTAGGGCGGGTGAGAATTTACCTGTGATGTGCCCTGTCTGGGACAGCAGAGATGGCCTGGGAGGCCCAAGGCTGTGAGGATGTTAGGAAGGCTTCGGTCATGGCTAGCGTGGGTCTAGTATGCCTGTCCTTTTTCTGCTCTCGGGCAAAATCCTTGATGTTTCCAAGAAATGGAAGGGCTAAGACTCCCAAATAAGGTGGGAAATAGCTATGTAATTTTTAAGGGAAGTGTTGCATGTGTCACTGTGTTTTTGTAAGGGGGCTTACTTGCAATGCAAGTGGAGCACAGGGAGCTGGTACAGTACCAAGAGGGAGGGCAAAGCAGAACGGGTGGAAGCTCCTGAGAACAGTGGAGAAGCTGTAGAAGCCGCAGGTATGTTCAGGTTTCTACTTCCCTGGGTGAAACGTAGCTATAAAAGATGCTCGGTGCCTCCGGAGGGTGGCTGCGTGAGCAGGAGCAGGCTGTTGAGGGGAGAGCTGGTGCGCGGGTGGAGAGAGGAAAAGGGAGACACGAGAGAGGCCACGCTGCTTCCCCTAGCCCTGCGGGAGAAAACTGCCAGGGCATCACGGGAGGCTGGCTAGGCACCGTGGCCGTTGTTGCTACCCCTTGCACGGCGTGCCTCGTGTCTGCAGGCAGAGGCACAGCACCTTTTAGCCCGAGGACCTTTGCTTCTGATTTAACTGCTTCACTTAAGTCTGTGGCAGTGGAGTGGTTTCAGGTGGTGGTAGGAGGAGGGAGGTAACCCGAGAAGATGTTCAGATCACCGAGCAACAAAGTGCCAAAAATTGGGCGTTGGCTAGCAGTTCTGACTGAGTGGAATCGCCTTTGACGTGTCCGCTTCTCCCTTCAGGAGCCCCAGGTCCTCACTTCGCCCCTCTGTCAGGGTCTTAACGCTTGGGGACGCGACCAAACCCTTACGGGGCAAAGAAGGGTGTACCCCAGCCTGACGATGAAGAGATGCTCCTCTGCTCATCTCCAGATGCTCCTGAACTGGCCAGAAGCTGCTGTGGCAAGTGATTGCTAGTCCA